TCTTGGCAGGCTGAACGTGGCAAGGCATTGCTGAAGTGATCACTGTGCAGACACGTTCCTAGAGAGCTTTGTGCTAAGTGTGAAAGTGTCACAGTCTCTAAGGAACACAAGAGGGGATAACTTGTGGGGATTAATATTTCCTGTTGAGCTGCAAGTGCCTCCATTCTCCCCCATGCACGAGAGCCCTGTTAGCCATTGGAGCTCCTGAAAGGCCCAGTGCAGACACTGTCCTTGAGGCTCTACTCCCTCCTTACATGATTTCCCTTGACCCTGACAGGCTCCAGACTGGGTAGACGCTGAGGAGTGTCACAGGTGCCGAGTGCAGTTTGGTGTCGTGACGCGGAAGGTGGGTGCTGCTCCTGCCCCTTTGGGTTTCTTGGCCCTGCACAGCCCTTGGGACTGGCAGAGCTCCCTGCAGGACTCTCTGTGTGGAAATGTGCTGGGGACAGACCGTGTTCCCTGGCCACTGGCAGGGAAATGCTGGGAGTATCTGAGTGTGTTGTCTAATGGAGAAGGAGTGCCTTGCCGCTACACTGATGTCTCCCATCCTTCACAGCACCACTGCCGGGCCTGCGGGCAGATCTTCTGTGGGAAATGCTCCTCCAAGTATTCCACCATCCCCAAGTTCGGGATTGAGAAGGAAGTGAGAGTCTGTGAGCCCTGCTATGAGCATCTCAACAAGTCAGTACCCTTGGTGGTGGGTTTCTTTGCTTGCGAGAGCTGGGACTGTGAGGGGGGAAGCATGATGTGGAGCCAGTTCCCTGCAGAGCAGGGCGAGGGTGCTTCCCAGGCCGTGCAGGCTGGGCTGGGCCCCCTTCCTTCCCAGGAGCAGGGTTTGCCGCTGAAACGTTGTGCAGAGCTGGGGCTCTGGTGCAGAGGAGGGAGTGTTCAGTCCACACTGTCACCTCTCACTGCAGGAAGGCTGAGGGCAAAGCTGCTGCCACCTCCGAACTGCCCCCCGAGTACCTGACCAGCCCTCTCTCTCAGCAGTCCCAGGTGAGTGGCTGCCCCGTAGGTGATCTGGTGATCCTGACCTGTTTATTGACCCCATTACCGACCACCTCCTCATCTTTTCACTTCAAGCTGCCTCCAAAGCGCGACGAGACAGCTCTGCAAGAGGAAGAGGAGCTCCAGCTGGCTATTGCCTTGTCTCAGTCAGAGGCTGAGGAGAAGGAGAGAATGGTTTGTGCACTGCTGGGATCTGGGAGGGGTCATTGCTCTTCAGCCCAGGTGTACTGGGCCATAACAGATCTCTGGGCATGTCCTGGCATGAGCGAGGTGCAGGGCCTGTGGAATGAGAGGGTGAAAGCAGAGCCAGGCATGGGCCGTGTTGCAGTTGGTTTGGAGGAGTCTGGACAGTCCCTGAGTTGGCAATTTTCTCTTTTGCAGAGGCAGAAAACAACCTACTCCATGTACCCTAAGGCTGAGCCCACCCCTGTCACGTCATCGGCTCCCCCGGTCAGCACACTCTACTCCCCGCCCGTGGTACGTCCATGGGAGCCCTGGGCATGAAGGCCACTTCCCGAGCCCGAGTCTGCCCTGCTTGTGTCCAGTTTAATCCCGTTCTGAGGGAAAATAGTTGCCCCATTCAACGCCATGCTCCTTCACTGTGTTTTGAGCAAGAAGGTCTGTTCCTAGGTGGCATTTAGGTGCCTCTGCTGCTTCCCGGAGCTGTAGCGTGTGTCCCCTTTGAGGCTCTTGCTGGTGCTCAGCACTGGTGGTTGTACATGGCCAGGTCCGATCCAGACATCTGTGTGGGACCTGGGGGGTCTCTGGTTTCTCTGAACTGCTTTTCCCTGTTTGTCTCTTCCCAGAATTCCTCTGCTCCCTTGGCTGAGGACATTGACCCAGAGGTAAGGATCTCAGCCCTGTTAGTCTGTGGCACAGGCTTGCTTCCACGAGGCAGCAATGCTCACCTTCCTTCTCTTCCTGGCAGCTGGCTCGGTACCTGAACCGCAACTACTGGGAGAAGAAACAAGAGGAGGTTCGTAAGAGCCCCACGCCGTCAGCACCCCTGTCCCTGACAGAGCCGACTGCGCAGCCTGGGGAAGCCCACCCCACCCCACTCGGGGTGGTTGAGGTAAGAGAGGGCCCGGACCTGGGTCTGGCACCTGCCAAGGGGCAAGAAGCACCGGACTCCTTGGCTCTGCAGGCTGGCTGCCAGCTCTTGGCACCGGGGGGTCACGGCTATCGGCTGCCTCGTCCTTCCTTCCAGCAGCAGTACCAGAATGGCGAGTCTGAGGAGAACCACGAGCAGTTCCTGAAGGCACTGCAGAACGCAGTCACCACGTTCGTCAACCGCATGAAGAGCAACCACATGCGAGGCCGCAGCATCACCAATGACTCCGCCGTGTTGTCCCTTTTCCAGTCCATCAACAACATGCACCCGCAGCTGCTGGAGCTGCTCAACCAGCTGGACGAGCGCAGGCGTGCGTGGGAGCTGGGGGAGCTGCTGGCCCTGGGTGTGGGCGGGCAGCTGCCGGGGCTTCCCCAGTGCCAGCGTTTGGCATTCCTGTGACGCAGCCTCTCCAGAGACTAGTGAGGAGTGCAGGGGTGGTCTGATGCTCTGTCCCCATGTCCCTGAGCCTGTCCCTTCCCTCCCCAGTGTACTACGAAGGCCTGCAGGACAAACTGGCCCAGATCCGGGATGCGCGTGGGGCTCTGAATGCACTGCGGGAGGAGCACCAGGAGAAGCTGCGCCGCGCAGCAGAGGAGGCAGAGCGGCAGCGCCAGATCCAGCTGGCCCAGAAGCTGGAGATCATGAGGCAGAAGAAGCAGGTAAGGCAGAGAAGCGTGTCCAGGGTATTTCAGGCCTGCCTGTGCCATGGATCAGCCCAGGGCTGACAGGGACAGCTGTCCTAGTGGGAGGGGGTCTGTAGTGTCCTGGCTCCGAGCCGTCACAGTCCCGTGTCCGCAGGAGTACCTGGAGATGCAGCGTCAGCTGGCCATCCAGCGACTGCAGGAGCAGGAAAAGGAGAGGCAGCTGCGCCTGGAGCAGCAGAAGCAGACCATCCAGATGAGAGCCCAGATGCCAGCCTTCTCATTGCCCTATGCCCAGGTACAGCTGCTGGGCCAGGAACCCTCCTGCCAGGTCCCAGGGCCTGCAGCCTAAGGCTGGCTTTCCTTCTCCCACCAGCTCCAGGCCATGCCGGCAGCCAGCGGGGTGATATACCAGCCCTCTGGGCCCACCAGCTTCCCTGGCACCTTCAGCCCAGCTGGCTCTGTGGAAGGCTCTCCCATGCACAGCGTGTACATGAACCAGGCTGCACAGGGAGGCACAGGGCCATACGCCGCCATGCCCGTCACCGGGACTGGTACGTTGGGCAGCTCATCCCACAGGGGTGGGGGTGAGCCAAGGTGGTTGCTCTAACCTCTGCCCTCTCTGCCCAGATCCCAGCATGGTGAATGCCTACATGTACCAGCCAGGGGCCGGCAGCGGGCAGGGGGCTCAGCAGGGGACAGCAGTGCCCACCACCACCCCAGCATACTCGTCCTACCAGCCCACGCCCACGCAGGGCTACCAGGCAAGTGAGGCAGCACAGCCTGTGGCCTGCTGAGGTGGGGGCTGGGGGCCTGGGGCAGTGTACCCCACCTCATCAACGGGATCTCTGAGCAGGAGGAAGGATGGTCTGGTTGGTCCCAGACCTCCAGATCTGCTGCTCTCACTGCGGGAGCGGGCTGGGGTCGGAGCCAGTTCCAGGCTCTGGGGTCTTGGCTGGAGCTGTGAGCCATCGCTGCCTGCGCCGCCTCTCACCAGGCTCTCCCCACAGAGCGCAGCCTCGCAGTCGCAGAGCATCCCGGCCATCTCCCAGGCCCCCCAGTCGGGTGCCATGGGCTACATGGGCAGCCAGTCCGTCTCCATGGGCTACCAGCCCTACGGCATGCAGGTGAGTGTTCCCCACTTGGGCATGGGGGGGATGAGGTGTGGGTGGGCTCCAGCCTATGGAGTCGTCCTGGAGGAGGCCTGGCAGAGGCTGGGATCTGTCACCACTGCCCCACGGGTGCTGCGTGTCCCTTGGCCCCTCTGACACCCACCCCCTCTTTCCCACAGGGTCTCATGTCTGCCCTCCCAGGCCAGGATGCAGCTCTGAGCAGCCTTCCAGCCCAGCAGTCCTACATGCCTGGGCAACAGCCCCTCTACCAACAGGTAAGTGCCACCAGCCCAGGGGGTGAGGGCCCCATGGGGGTCAGAACCCAGTGGGGCATGTGTGCTGATGAAGCCACATGCTAATGAAACCACTTTGTCTGTTCCAGGTGGCCCCAGCCGGGGGCCCCCCCCAGCAGCAGCCTCCACCGGCGCCAGCCCCCGGGCAGCAGCCCCCGGGCAGCGGAGAGGCCCAGCTCATCTCATTCGACTGATCAAGGCCACAGGGCATGGGGGACCCTGGGGGTCCTGTGTAACACTACTCTTCATCCAGAATCACTCTGTACTTCGACTGCTCCTCCTGTCCCCTGGCCCCATGTCCGGGGGCAGTGGTGCCCCAGGCTCCCATCGCAGGCTCTGGGGACCAAGCGGCAGGGGCACAGCCCCCTGCCCCCGACTGCCCGGGGCTGCTGCCCCCGGCTCACCCCCCCCCCCCCCCAGTCCTCCCTGGCAGCCGGCGGCCCCTGGGGCCGGGCAGGAGCTCGCCCGGTCCCTGCCGTTGCCCCGGGACTTGTGGCCGCGGGCCCCGAAGGAGCAGCGCTTTAGCCCTGCCCGGTCCTCGGCGCCAGCTTCGCCCTGTCCCCGCTGAGTCCCGCTCCCCGCAGTGCCCTCCCGGGCCCGAGGCCCCTCGCCGGGCCGGGCCCGTCCCGTCCCCGCCCCTCGCGGGGGAGACCGAGCGCGAACGGTGACAATAAAGCGTTGGAACGAGCTGCGGCCTCGTGTGCTGGGTTGGGGGGCGACGCTGCCGGACTCGGCCTACACCTCCCAGGGCAAATCGCTTCGCTCCGCCCCTCTCGGCCGTGTCTCCGGAGCGGCGGCGCGGGGCCCGCCGGGAGCGCGGGGCGGAGCGCTCGGTGTCCTCGGGGCCGCCATGCTGCCCGCGGTGCTCCCCGCCGCGCTCCCCGCCGCCCGCCGGGCGCTGCTGCCGCCGCGCCTGCCGCGCCCGCCGCGCCCCGCGCCCCGCGCCCCGCCCGACCCCGCCGGGCTGCGGGCGCTCGGCACCGGCCCCGCGCGGCGCTCGGAGGCGCTGGCCGGGGCGCCGCTGGACACGGCCGCCAAGGAGTACTCGCCCAAGGTGCGGCAGCTGGTGCGGGACATCGCGGGGCTCACGCTGCTGGAGGTGGCCGATCTCAACGCGCTGCTCAAGGTGGGTGTGGGGGCGGCCCGGCTCCACCCGGCTCCTCCCGGCCCGGCCGCGTGCGCCGCCTGACCGGCCGCCGGTGCCGCTGCTCTTCCCGCAGGAGACGCTGAAGATCCCGGACGTGGGGGTGATGCCCGCGGCGGCCGCCGTGTCCGCCCTGCCCGCCCAGGCGGCTCCGCAGGTACCGAGAGGGGCGGGAGTGAGGCCCCGGGGCCCCACGCGCGGGCGGCGGGCGGGGCTGGTGGGCTTGGCCGCGGGGCTTCACCGCGCTCCTGATGCTTCCAGGAGGAGGAGGAGGTCCCGCTCAAGAAAGAGAAAACACATTTCACCGTCCGGCTGACGGAGCTGAAACCCGCTGACAAGGTGAAGCTGATCAAGGAGGTGAAGAACTTCGTGCCGGGAGTGAACCTTGTGCAGGTGAGCAGGGGCTGTCCCAGGCTCCGGTGTGTCGCCCCCAGGCCCACGTGGGTCCAGCAGTCGGCTCTCTGTCCGAAGGGAGCCTGTATTCGTGTGTGCAGGAGCACAGTCTGCCTGTGTGAGCCTCAGTGCAGAGGCATGGACAAAGTGGGGAGCAAGATTTGGTTGTGTCTTTGGCATTTTCCCCTGGCAGAAGTGGGAGGATGAAGGAGGAGACCTAGAGCAAAGACCTCAGAGTCCTTCGTGCCAATCTCAGCTTCTCCAAACCTGAGAGCTGCTGTGAGCTTTCCTGCAGAGCTCAGGAGTCCCTCACTACGGCTCGGTTTGGCTTGCCTTTCCCAAAACCAATGTGTTTCTGAATTTAGATGAGCTTTTCTAAATCACACATCTTTCAATCCAGGCTTCCAGGTCTTTTCAGGGCTCTTCTTTTTGTAGGTGATGCTTCTTCCTCTTTCCTGGGAGGAAACCAGGCCTCTTACAGCCCTGGGCAGCATCTGAGCTCATGCCCTTGAGCCAGGGTGTGGGCTCAGCAGGTTGGGTGATGAAGCTGCTACTGGCAAAGTATTTAACGCACTGCAGTTCTCCACTGGGTGATGCTACCATATCTTGGGGTTAATAGTAGCACTTTCCATTTATCCAACTGCAGCGTTGAGTATTGCAGAGTCTGCTCTTATTGTATTCTGGAATAGCAGAAAGGTTTGCAGATAATCTTCTGACCTGTTCCTGTTGCAAAGCCAACAGAGAAGCTCGGTGGCACAGGTGCAAGTTTGGCTGCCCCAGAGGGATAATTACCTGACTGTCAGCCTGATTCCTCTGAAAATTGTTCATCCATTATTGGTCCGAAGCAAACGTGAAAATAGCAAACCCTGTAATGGATGCAATCAGCAGATAATTAACTGGAGAGCTGATGCTAAATGAGCTCGGGGTAGCACGTGGCACCTGTCGGACGAGCTGTTTGTAGGTGCCGGCTATTGCAGGCAAACCCCGGTGTGATGTACCCGGCCTGGCCCTTTGGTTAAAACACACACACAAAACAGCTGGCTGCTGACAGGGCTTCTGCCTGCAGAAGTTGTGTTCAAAGTAGAGTTGATGCACATTTGTTGTAAATTTTATAGCCATCCAGTTGAGGTGTTTTAATGAGGTTTGCAGGGGATCTCTTTGTGACCTGATGGTTTAGAGAAGAGCATGGCTAGTGAGGACTTTGAGTGCTGGTGGGACCCAAACGGGTCAGTCCTGCGGCAACAACTGCGTGATGAGACAGGTGTGTGATCAGCACACACTGGACTGAGGGCATCCTCGGTTCAGGAAGCTCATTGAGAGCCTCCCAGCAGACACTGACCCTGTGTCACTGCCAGTCTGGGGTGTGACTGGGTTGGGAATGTGCTGCCTCTGCCCCGTGACTGCTGCTGTGTGGATCCCGCTTGGCTCGGGCCTTGCTCTTCCTCCCGCCAGGCGCCAGGAACAGCTGCTTCCCTTGACCAGGGCTGCTTTAGAATGGAGTCATGCCTTGGTGAGCAGGGTTCTGAAATGAATAACCTGGGTTGTGTTGCCTGTTCTCATGGAGCAAGCTGGAACAGGCTCCTGTCTGAACCCTGTCCTGGTGAGTGAAGGCATTCCTGCCCTGCCGAGCACTGGCCGTGCCTGCTCACCCCAGCAAAAAAAAAGCATTTTCTGCCACCACAGATATGTTGTCGCTGTACCCAGCAGGAATCAAAAGGACAAAACCTTTTTGCCAGCAGCAGCCAGTCCGGTGGGCACTAAAGCCGCACCAAGCCGCAGCAGAGAGCTGTGGCTTCTTACCTGGGAACCAGCTGGGGTTTGTTTCAAGGAGCCAAATAGCTTCACTGGTGCTGGGTGTAAGAGCAGGAAGGTCTGACCGCAGCAGGGGCTTGTCCCCCCAGGCTCCCTTCCCTCCCTACAGCAGCACTGTTGTAAGTTCCTTAAATCAGCTCAGCAGCTTTTCAGCTTGCCTTAAGTATTGCACTGCTGCTTAGTACCAGTAGTTTTGCTTAGAAAGCCCCTAAAATGTCAAAACAATGTGTTCCAAGTATAGTCTGTGCTGAAGCTCTGTTTTACCCGATGTAGCTGTGTCCAAACCCTGCACCGGCCTCCCCTCCTGCTGGCACAAGTATGTGAACCAAAACACAGACACTGAGCAGGGCCGGCCCAGTGCCAGGCAGCCACTGCCTTAGTAGGTCACTGCATGGGCCTCTGCCTGCACCCACTCCTGCATGGGCCAGAGGTGCACATCTGGGAGCACCACACCCATGCTGGGAGGAATTTAAGAGCAGCGAATCGCTGGAAAAGGTTTCCCAGTGGATATACTGCTGCCCACATCCCTTCCGGTGGGATGTGCCATAGTTCAAGTGAAAGTCTTGGGGTTTGTACTGGTCAGTGAGTTTCCCTGGTCATCTTAAGCAGAGGTCAGGCTCATGGCTCTAAATCCGATAATCTGGTTAGTGAAAGGCACTTTATGAGCCTCGTACTTTGTCCCTCCCACAGGCAAAGAAGCTGGTGGAGTCCCTTCCGCAGGAGATCAAGGCAAACGCCTCCAAGGAGGAAGCAGAGAAGATCAAAGCGGCGCTGGAGGCAGCAGGAGGGACTGTTGTTCTGGAGTAGTCTCACCCCAGAGGGACTGGCACGCTGAGCCCGGACCTTTCCAAGCGCATGGCGCGGTGGGAGTGCTCTCCCAAAAAACACTGTGGTTTGGCAGAGCTGCTGCCTCCTTCCACTATCACCATGAACTCTACCTTATAAATATAAAAAAAAAAACATGTAAAATGGTTCATCTCTCCCAAATCAGCTCTGATTATCCCCATGCTCCATATGTGCACACTGGTAACGTCGCTCTTTCATAGAATCATGGAATGGTTCGAGTTGGAAGCGACCTTAAAGATCATCTCATCCCAACCCCTGCCATGAGCTGGGACACCTTCCACTACACCAGGTTGCTCCAATCCCCATCCAACCTGGCCTTGGACACTTCCAGGGATGGGGCAGCCACAGTTTCTCTGGGCAATCTGTGCCAGGGCCTCACCACCCTCAGAGGGAAGAATTTCTTCCTATTTTCTAACCTAAACCTACTCTCTCAGTGTGAAGCCATTCCCTCTTGTCCTGTCAAGGCTCTCCTAAATAGTCTCTCTCCATCTTTCTTGTAGGCTCCCTTCAGGTTCTGAAGTTTGTGCCAGCACATCACCCCCCTCCTCATGGCATCGCCCCCTCTTAACGCTGCCTTTTGCTGATGGTCTCACCGCCCCGATAGTTGTTAACGGGAAGAACCCACTTCCATAGGCTGTGGAGATGTGGGCAGGGCGGGAATGAGTACTCTGGAGCTGCTGATTATCCCCGCACTCTGCATGTGTGCACTGGTAACGCTGCTGTTTGTACCCGCGCATCCCCTGCCTCTTCGCGCCGCTTTTTTGCAGATGCCTTCACCTCCCCGTTAGTTAATCCCCGTTAATTATTAACGGGAAGAAACCACTTCCGCGGGCTGTGGAGGCCGGGGAAGGATGATTCCGGAGCCTGGGGTTGCCGCGGCAGCCCCCGCCCGCGAGGCTGGGGGGGTACGCGCCGCTCCCGGGCCGGGGATGCGACGGCCGGGCCCGCCCCCCCTCCGGTACCGGGAGGAGGCGTGGCTTAACGGAAGGGGGCGTGGCTTAACGGAAGGGGGCGTGGTTTGTGGCAGAAGCGGCTCCCATGGCGGAGCAGCGCGTTTCGCGCTGGTACTTCGGCGGCCTTGCGTCGTCCGGGGCCGCCTGCTGCACCCACCCCTTGGACCTGCTGAAGGTGAGGGGGGGACGCGCCGGGGGGGCGGCTCTGACGGCGTGTGGGAGGCTGTTTAGGGGGATAGGGAGCGGGTTTGAGGAGCGCGGAGCGGCTGTGAATGGCTGCGGTGGTGCGGGGGGTGCTGTGAGGGGATGGGGAGGCGGTTAGTGCGGCGGGGAGGGGTTGGGGGGACGGTTATCGGGGCTGGTAGTGGTTCTGAGGGTCCCGGAGCGGCTGGGAGGGGTTGGGGAAGGGGTTAGGGTGAGTTGGGAGTGGCTGTGGGGGTCCCGGAGGGGTTGCGGTGGGACGGGGAGCGGGTCTGAGGGACTGGGCTGCGGGACGGGGGGCAGCTGTGAGGGGACGGAGAGCAGGTCTGGGGGCTCCAGGGCGGCTGTGAGGGGTCAGGGGGTGGCTCTGAGCGGCTGGAAGTGGCTGTGAGGGTCCATGAGAGGTTGCGAGGGGATAGGGAGCCATTCTGGGGACCTGCGGAGCGAGTCTGAGGGTCCCGGAGTGGGTGAGGGACCAGGAGACGGCTACCAGGGGAGGGGAGGTGGCTCTGAGTGGGCTGAGAGTGGCTATGAAGGTCCTGGAGAGGCTGTGAGGGGACGGGGAGCAGGTCTGAGGGTCCTGGAGCAGCAGCGGGACTGGCTGTGAGGGACCTGGGTGGGAGTGAGGGTCCCAGAGTGACTGCGGGGCCGGAGAACAGCTGCAGAGCACCAGGGAAGCAGCTGCCGGGGGCTGGTTCTGAGGGGCTGACTTCCGATTTGAGGCTGTGCGGGTACATGACCCTGGGATCAGGGAGGAGGGAGCCGGCGCTGGGGCCCGGGGACACAGCTGAGGGGTCACAGACCCAGCCCAGGGGAAGGGGCGGATGTGTGGGGCTGAGGGGTCTGGGGAACTCGGAGTGTCTGCCCTGGGGGCTGTGGAGGACGCCTTGGCCTCCCCTGCCCGGGCACGGCAGTAACTCCAGGGCTGGCGGTGTTGGACACTGTCCCACTGGGCTCTGGGCCCTCTGGCCAAGATGTCACCTAGGCGCCGCGGATGACCTGGCATCCCCACTGCTGCACAAAGGGCGCCGCGCGCAGCCCTGCGCTGCCAGCACCCACGGACGGGGCGAGTGCCAGCGCTGCCTCGAGCCTTGTGTGCCAGCCAAGCGGCGATGAGCCTGGCAGCCGGGCAGGCTGCAGAGGGGGAGCGGGAGATCCAGCCCAGGCCAGGGCCTGCCCTGCCCAGGGCTGTGCCCATGGGTGAGGCTGGGACAGACAGCCCCTTCCCACCCCACGGCATGGAGGAAGGGGAAGATGTACTGGGCACAGGCACAGGAGAGCAGTCAGCCCTGGCAAGGGAGTGCTGCCTCCCCAGTGTTCAGCCTGTTGCTGTGCCCTGTCTGCCCAGTGGAGGTGGCTGCCAGCCCATGGGAGCTCGTGTGGGATGCCCTGGCAAGGCGCTAAGAAAGGGAATTTGTCTGACACATGCCTCTCAATCTGTCTCTGAGCCAGCGTGACGGGTGTGACATTTGGGCCATGTCCCCTTGCTGTCCCCTGCAGATGTACAGCCCCTGAGTGCACAGGGCTGTGAGCAGTCTAGCCCACTGCTAGGTTTTGCCAGAGGGTTCACATCTGAATATTGATCATGGACCTACCTTTGGCCGAGAGCTCCCCAGCAGGGGCTGGCACCAGGCCTGGTGAGGCACAGGAGGCCTCAGGATCCAGCAGGGCAGAGTACGAAGGGCACTTCACTACCCCTCTGGACCTTGGCCCCAGCCAGCCAGCCTGGACAGTGCTTGTGCCCTTAGGCCGGCTCTCTGCAGCCACCAGCCACCCACGGGTTGCTGGCTGTGCGACAGTGACCACGGCCTGGCCAGTCCCTCCCCTGCCCGCCTGCCTGCCCTTCCTGCAGCCCTGGGACTGCAGGCAGTGGAGCGCATCCCAGCATGACTCTGCCTGACCTGCCTGCTCGTTTCCTCCGCCCCAGGCTGCCTGCAGCCTGACACTGGTCCCTGACACAAGCTCTGGTCCCTGGCATCCAAAATCCACCTGCCAGCATTGAAGGCAGGCTCCTGCACCCCTGCTGATGCCCCGCGTGGGAGACAGCAGCTGTTCCCAGCATCCTGTGGTGTGTCTCACGGCCCAGCTGTGCCGGGGCTTCTGGAGCAGGAGCCAGGCCTGGTCCCCCGACAGCAGCTCTTTGCTCTCCTTATCTCCTGGGGCCTTTGACCTACATGTGGTCTTTGCAGCACTCAGAGCATGCTCTGGCACCAGCTGACACAGCTCCCGTGCGTCCAGGCCGGCCCCCCACGACTCCCGCTGCCATGCGTTGCCCCTGGTGATGGTGGGAAGTGTTGGGCTGCTGCAGGAGGGAAGGAGAGCATCTGGCTGGCTGTGGGTTCTCTTCCTGCCTCTGCGATTCCTGCACTGGGGAGGAGGGGAAGTGGCTCCGGAGGCCTGACGCCCTGCCCTGCGTGGCTGTGACTTCACTGACCCGACTGCGTCCCTCTGAGCAAACCCATACTGGGCACTCACTCGCTCAGGTGCTGCTGGACCACCCCACCCTGAGGTGGGCCAGGATCCTTCTGGGAGAAGCAGGCGCCACCCCTCACCTTGGAGCTTAATGTTGAGGGCAGGGCCTGGGAAGGGCTGTGGGCGGGTACCTGGGCACTCCCCTTCCCTCACTGCCTCCAGCCCTCTGGTGCTGGGCTGGGCCAGTCTCCAAGTCCTTTTCAGGTGTGGGGAGCCTGGAGCTGTTGCTGTTGGCTGCTGGGCGATGCTGACGCGTTAGCCTGACACGTGCTCACGTTCGTGCCTGCTCTGGTGCCTGGTGCACTCCCATCCCTGCCTAGCCCAGCGCTGAGCTGACGCTGCTGCGTTCTGCCCCAGGTCCACCTGCAGACACAGCAGGAGGTGAAGATGCGGATGATGGGGATGGCGATGCATGTGATCCGCACCGATGGCTTCTTTGCTCTCTACAATGGGCTCAGCGCCTCGCTGTGCCGGCAGGTGAGTGCCACCGTGCCCTGCTGGCCCCTGGGCCCTCGAGGCCAGCACAGAGCCCCTGCTGCGCTGCAGAGCCCCAGGAGCTGACGGGCTGCCCTGCACCAGGGGCACAGCCGCTCATTTCCCTCTCCTCCAGATGACATACTCCTTGACTCGCTTTGGCATTTATGAGACCGCAAAGAAACACCTGGGCCAGGGCAGCCAGGGGCCTCCCCCCTTCTACCAGAAAGTGCTGATGGCTGCAGCAGGAGGTGAGCCAGGCAATGGGGCTTTCAGCCCTAGCTCCCTCAGGCTGGACACTCCCCTGACCCAGCTCTTCTTTTGCCACAGGTTTCACTGGTGGGTTCGTGGGGACCCCGGCTGATATGGTGAACGTCAGGTCAGTTCTCTGTATGACAGGGTTTGTGGCCGGTGCACAACAGCAGCTGGAATGGTGGGAAGTGCTGGGTGCTCCCGTCATCATTCCCGGCGAGCCTGCCCAGTGGTCAGTGGCCCAGGAGCTCTGTGCTCAGGATGACTGGAGCTGTTCTGCTGTTCGGTGACAGCCCCTTGGGGGGAGTGGGGCTGGAGGCAGCGTTCTTGTCCATTTGCAAACGGGCAACACAATCCCACTACCCTGGGCAGGAGTCCCTGGTGCTGGGGGGGACAGTCGGCCACCGGCCCCCCCTCACCTGCGGTGCTCTGCCTTCCAGGATGCAGAACGACGTGAAGCAGCCGCCGGCTCAGCGGCGCAAGTGAGTGGGGGACTGAGGCGGGGAGGGGCGTGAGGCAGAGGGCTGGGGAGTTGTGGAGCCGTGAGGGCTGGGACGGCGGGGAGGTGGTCGGAAGGGACCGGCGCTCCCGGGGCCGGGGGTCCGCGTGGCCGCGGGGTGGCAGCACCGCACCGGCACCGGGGGCGGCGGGATCGGGGCCGGGGCCGCCGCTCCGGGAGCCACCGGTGCCCGCGGAGAGCGGCGGGGCTGCCGCCGTGCTGGGGAGCCTCGGCTCCTGACCCCTTCCCCTCTCGCTCCTTCCAGCTATTCCCATGC